CATATAGTTATTTAAAACTTAACATGTGAATCAGTAAATGAACCAGTCTGCCAGCAGCTTGTCTATGTTCATATAATATATATAGAGCATTAACACTTTCATAGATACATAAAACTTTCATTTTCCTTTAAACTTATTTGATTGGGAGGCAGAAACTTCCATAAAAAAAAAGGCAGTATGAGAATTTTGAGAAAGATGGTCCTTTTAGGCTAAAGATAATTTAGTAAGGTTCTTAGAGGAGGTGGATATTGGGAAAGCTTGGAAGGAATGTGGAAAGCCTTAAAGGGACTGGTGGGGACAGGACTGTAGTGATGGAAACGTGCAATTCATTCTTGGACTTTGGAGTGGATCAGTTGCTCTCATAAGAGGATAAGTATCAGAGCCAGACTGGAAGGTCTTGACTGGTATACTAGGGATTCTTTATATGCAGGTGATGGGGACTCACTGAATATTTTTGAACAAGAGGTTGATATGATTAAAAATATGCCTAGGAAGATTAGTTAATAGAAAGCAGGATAGGTTAGTATACAGAAGAGACAGGAAGTAAAAATGTCAGGTTTTGTTTTTGTTTTTTAAATTTTTATTAACTCTTTTAATTTGGTAGGGGGTGGGGAGGAGGTAATTAGATTTTGTTTATTTTTAGGGGAGGTATTGGGGATTGAACCCAGGTCCTCGTGCATGCTAAGCATGCGCTCTACTGCTTGAGCTATACCCTCCCCCCCATGTCAGGTTTTTTGAAGTAGTTAATGCTTCAAACTTGAGAGTAGAAATGGAAACTTTGATACTTTAATAAAACATGAAAGTCTTCAGTCTGCCTTTTGACATTATTACTACATAAATGCATCTAGATATTTAAAGAGAAGAAAAGCTGTGTAACTTAAGCTTTTGGTCAAAATAAGTACAGTATCTCAAGAGATATAAAGCACATTCATTCTGTTCTTCTGTACTGATAACATTCACCTATTAACAGGAACAACAAAACCCTCTCTGAAGCTTAAGTATTAATACCCTTTTCAGATGTTTAAAAAAATAGCTGTTGAAGTTTAGTGCCATTTTAGTTATTGTAGGCAGTAAAGAAATGCAGCAAATGATAAATGTGAAGTAAAGTACAAAAAGTATTCTATTTTATTTCTTCAGATTTTTTATTTATAGTTTTATATTTTCTTAGACAAATTTAGAATATATCTAGCTAAGTAATAATACCTAAATTCCTTCTAAATATAAATTTAAAATGTGATTTTTCAAAAATTTAAACTTTCCAATGATAAAATTTTTCTAAATGTATTATTTAAATGAATAGAAATTATTTCATATTGTCTGAATTGAGATATCCAACTTAACAATAAAATAGAACATTTGAAATAGCCTTTTTTTAAGAAAAATTGATTTTGATATTACTTGTGAGAGCTTATTACTGTTTTTCCCCTTTAATAGCTCCTCCATCGACCAAACATTAAGGTATTCTTTTCTACGTAAAGGTATTATTTTCTATCATAAATAGATAGAAATATGCTTATTAGTTAAGGTACAGGCTGAGCTGTTGTTAACAAAGAGAACACCAAATTCTCAATGTTTTAAACAAGATAGAATTTTATTCATCATTCAACAGCTCAGAGGTAGGCAGGTGGTCAAGAGTGAGTTGGTGGCTTTGTTTCACAAGGTCATCCAAAAGCCTGGGTTTCTTTTATTTGCTTTTCAACCGTCCACCGTGGCTGCATTGTTCAGCATAGTAGCCACATGTAACTATTGACATTTATATTTAAATTAACTTAAATTAGAAATTTAACGTTCATTGTAGTTAAAGTCCTCCATAGCTATACCTGGCTGGTGACTACTGTTTTGGACAGTGCAGATGTAGAATACCCACATCACTGCAGCAAGTTCTGTTAGTCAGATCTGCACTAAGAGAGTTGTTGTTGTCTGCACAGTCTTTGCTGGCTCAAATTGGCCTAAGTTCTAGTCTACAGGAAGGGAAACATGGGAGGGTCAGGGAGAGGGGCAGCCACAGTTTTGTTATAAATGATCCAAAGGATGCATATATCACTTCTGCTTACAGTACATTGGCCAAAACTTGGTGATATGCTAACACCCAAGGGCAATTGTAAGAGTTGCTGTCTGGATGGAGTGGACCCAGCTAAAACTCAGTTTAGCCAGGAGTGCTGTGGAGGCAGGGATCCAATTACCAAAATGGAGAAGGTGAGAGTATATATTAGAGGACATTTGCCAATCTGGGTCACAAGTACTCAACATGTTAATAATCACAATTAGGTTTCTCCCTAATCCCCAAAGTAGACAGGAATCAACAGGGTAAGATATTTAATTTTAAATGACCATGTGGAGATTAACCTGAAATTATAATTTTTTAAAAAATTTGAATTATGTCTTAAGGTTTAACAAAATTAATCTTGTAATCATTTTGACTGCAAGGCAGTATTTCGAGCACGAGCCTGTTTTTCTCTAGTACATTAGTTTTATGTCTTAAACTTTGTGAAAAGATATTCTTTTGTTTGTGTGCCTGCAAACAAAGGACTAGAACTTGAGTTTCTTTCTGTCTTATTTTATAGATGTTCTGTGATGATTTTGAACATGTTGATGCTGAGCAGCAGTGTGAAGTATGAAAAGTACTAGTTGGTGATTTAGTTGTTCCTTCTCTCTCCCTATTCCTTCTTGCTCTCTGTATATATTTATCATGGTTCTAAACTATTTAGGGCTTATAATGAAAAGCAGCAGGCTTTTTCCACACCATTTCCCATCCCTGGTCTTACTCTTTGAAACAAACACTCTGAAATTTTCATGTTTACAACCTCCATATTTCTAAAAAATATGCCTATGTTCAACATGGCTTGATTTATCTGGAATAACATTAACTACTATTAATGAAAATAGATTTAGCTCATATACTACCTTCTCTCTTCCTTCATCACTATTTTTCTTCTATTAGCTTTAATATTTCTTAAACTTCTTTCATGTCTGTTCAATTAAAGATGGCATCTCTTACTCTCAAATTAGCAATTACAATTTTTAATGTTTCTAATCTTCCTTCCTCGTATCTTTCCCTTTTCTACTACTCAGTTTTTGTTGTTTCTTTTAAATTTCATTGATCAAATACACTTACATTAGTTTCTGTAACTATAATTAAGCCTTCTAGTTTTGTCTGTTGCTGAATTCTAAAAATTGTTATTAGTAAGCAGTTTGGTTTTTTTATGACTACATAAATATTTTCCACTGAAAAGCTAGTGATCGAACAATTACAATTTTAACATAGCTTTATTGTTTATAATTTAGTTAAAAAATTTCCTCTTTCCATTTTGGTTTCCTGTATTTTTTAAAAAAATTCTTTAATTAATTTCTTCCCACATATAAGTCGTACTCTAAAAAACATTCGGTTTTTTTTGCCATTGTCTCCCTCCTGAAGCCTTCTTTCTGTCTTCTAATCTGTTTTGTCAGCCAGTGTTCTTCTAACCACTTTACCTTTTTATAAAATTTGTTGAAAATTTGCTTTGGTTGATTCTATTCCTTGTGCCTTTTATAACTGTGGGTTTATTTATATCTTTTTAAAAATTCCTTTCTCTGTGTATGTATGTGTGTGTAGAGAGAGAGGATATAAACGGGTGTACTCATTTCAGCATCTTGAATCTGAAGTGTTGATATTTTCAAAGAATCAGATGCCCATGTATCTAAACCTTTGAGTCACATTTGATTAAATCTCATGTTCTAATTTTTGGAGGGAGGGGGGTTTGAGATGTTTACAGATACAGCGAAAAGAAAATAATGTTTAACTGTATAAAGTCTGATATTTTTATGTAAATAAACATTATTTCTAGAATAGTTTTACTTTTGTTTTCTAAGATTCAACTTTTTATAGATTATGATAATTTTATAATTTTTTCTTTTGATAAAGATTGTTGTGTTTTACTTTTTATTCTATTGAATTTATGTATCTTCACAAATGTATTGCCCAGCATTTCTTGAAATTGACCCATTCTACCATTATATCTGGCCAGTGACTAAAGAGCATATAGTGATGTTTAAAAAAAAAAGTTTCCTAGGTTGGAAGGCTAATGTTAGTCTTGAACTTTAATAGGTCTTACCGTCAGTCTGGGTGATAAGCTGTACAATACTCTTAGGCTACTTTTTATCTTTACAAGAGAATGGTATTGTAAAAATGTCAAAAAAAATACCCACATGCCCAGTTCACTAGTAAATATACTGCTAAATTTGAACCTTTTTGGCAGTAGTTTATGCTACTCAAGGGACCATATTTTTACAGAATGATGTATTTCAAAGTGTATTGGTTTCCATTGTAGAAAATTCATGCATTTAGAGCAACTTTAAACCAAAACAATTGCACTTGTGCTATATGTTTAAAATATTAGTCATCTTGAATACATGCCCAGGTTAAGTGTCAGAAGCTATATATTGCACAAAAAGAAAATTTATTGTTAGGAGACCAGCAGTACCTGTGCTTATACAGCCTGTTCCTTCGAGGATCAATTTGAGTATATGAACTAATATCAGTCTGATTTTTGTACAGTAACATTATTGATAATAAAGCAGAAGTTCATTGAGGAGAAAAACAAATAAAGGAAGCATAAAAGTCTCATACTGTATGAAACTACAGAAATGGATCAAAGAGTTTGACAGGAAGTTTAATGTGTACATAAGTAGAGTCTGACAGGAACATGCTGTGTGTGCCAAAGGTTCCGGTGATGGAAAACCGAAACATAGTGCTCACTGACCACAGCATGAGCCTTGACACACATTGTAAATAATCCAGAGATCTATGACTGCATTAAGCGCTGGGCTGGTGTATTAACGGCAGTAAATCTATAGCAGCATAATGGGATGGCATGCAGAAATTCCTCTGATTAATTTTTGTAATGGATTAATAGGAATATAGCAAATATTTTCATCTTGAATCCTGACGTCCTCCAACCACCCTCTCTCCCTAGCCCTACCCTCCCCATTGTGATCGTTTTTTATTCCCTTCTACTCACCAGGCTGGTATATGTGGATACTGGCTTTAGTACCATCAAGTTAAAAGCCGAAGATGCTTCTGGTAGAGAGCATCTAATCACTGTCAAGTTGAAGGCAAAGGTACGTGCTTCATTAAACTGTTACTGTGGTCAGGAAGTACTGTGTGAAATGAACTCTGTGAATGTTTTCAATGTAAACAAGTGCTAGTTGCTTCTAACAAATATATATGATACTATAAAAATTTTTATTTTAGAACACCTCAAAGAATTTATTCACTAAGTTTCCCAAAGCCTGCATACAATTTCATGTCACTATTTTAGTTCAGATTTGATCAAAATATAGACTTTATAGTAAAGAAATATTACAAATTAGGTTTGTCAGCCTCAAAGTACCATCATGTTATTTTTGTAACATCCTGTGTGGAAAAGATTTGAAAGTTTCTATTATCCCAAGTAAAGTTCTACTGCAGAAGTCTTTTGTCTTCAGTCTTACTATGAATTACCTTTGTTCTTATTTCTGCCCCAACCCCCAAACACAGACACAGAAATATGCATGCTTTTCATTGTTTTGGCTGAAATTTTTTTACTTCTGTATTTTAAAAATTTGCAAAGGCTGTTTGTACCTCTATTTATAGCCTTACAGGCTAGTGATCTATAACTACTGACTAATTTTATTGGCACAAAACATAGCTGTTTCATCTTTATTTTTTAATTAGGGATTGTAAATTTTGAGACATAAGTAGAATAAGCCAGTTCAGGGTATTCATCATTTACTTAGTAATCACTAGGCAAACATTAGAATTTGAGAAAACCAGGACACCTGACTTTTTTCCTGATCCCTAGGAGTCATCAATCAACTCTATTTCAGAAGATTGTAGTGATGAAAAGATCAATTGTGTTTGTCCTTTTTAAAAATGTCTGGCATTTAAGCTTTTCATGAGAGAACGTTAATACATAAAGTTGTACTGGGTGACACAGAAAAGTTGCTTATCTTATAGTGCCTCTATATCAGACAAGTTGAGAAATGACTCTCCTACACAGAGAATGTTTTAGGTATAATTTTAAGATTCATATGGGATAAGTGTTGAAAAAAATTGGGCTAACAATCTTATTTGTAAAATAAATTACGTGGATATATTTATTAAATGAAAATGAAAAAAATTTGTTTTCCTTTTTAGTTTTTAAAGATGTATTTTTTTAGGATCAAGGAGAAATCTGCCTTTACCCTTCCAAAAGTCATATGCTGCCAGTGGCAAGGGTTCTGTCATTTCCTTCAAAATTTATTTGTTTGTATTTTATACATTGATAAAAGTTGTTTTGGTGTGAATACTAAAATGGAAAAAAATATATATCCTGTCCTGATTCTGTTTAATAGCCTTGTGTTTACAACCTTTTCTGCTTTACTAAGAGATAATGATTTATTGTCTGTGCTGCCTGTAATTGCACCTATAAGATTTTATTATTAATTCTGGTTAATGACATCATTGGTAGTATTGAGAGGGAGGATGTGTAGCCACTAGTATAGTCCATTCCATTTGCTTTTTCTTGTAACTTTTCAAGGTACATAAGGTGACACTTTGAATATTTCTCTAGAGAATATTTTCAAGTGTCAAGTTTTTGCAGCGTCAATAGCTGTGAAGCACTATTATGGATGCCTTTGCAAGAGAGAAGAGAAAGATCTATTTGAGTTAGGAAGAAATTAGAAAGAAAAAAATCTTACCAAAAAGCAAAAAACAAAACAAGACAGACTAGACCTGAATGAATCTTATGCTGGTGTGATTTGTTCAAGTCGTGAATTATCCATTTAGTTCAATTTTCATAGAGGCCAGAGTTGTCTTTTAGATGTGGTAATTTCTTTCTTTTGAATATTTGGGATTGTCAGTTAAAAACAGTGAAAGCTAAAACTTACACATTAAGAGTACATAATGCAAAAATCGTAGTCTAAACTAAATTTTTAAGGATCAAGCTGATTTCTTAAAAAATAACCTTACATTAGCCTTATTTATGTAAATACTCAAATTTCTATTTCTTTTGATATTTTTTGATACATAGTAAAGAAATACATTTGTTTTATTTTTCTTCTTGAATATATACTCTCCCAATTCTGCCTTTCTCTCAACTTTACCTCACTGTCCCCCAAAACCCACAAAGAAAACAATACCAATTTTGTTTAGACATCTCATAATAAAAGTAAATATATAAGTCAAAAAGAAATATAATAAGGGAAACAGTTGAATTTTGTCATTTTTGTAAGTATTTTTATGCAGTATTAACAGTTCATCCTAAACCATGAGATTAAATTATTATCTTTTCTTTACCTTCTTAAAAAAGAAGTAGGGCCTCCGTCACTTTGGCCAAGATCAAAACTACTTGAAAAACAAATCACAGATGTGTTTCAGAGGCTGGGCGCTCTGTCTGATGCCTGTTTTTGTAATTGCTGCAATTTGCATGTATTCAGTTGCTAGGGGGCCTTACTGCTTAGATGGTCCGATTTATAAACACGTTGGGTTAAATTTTTTCTTGGAAAAGTATACTATGGAGTCTAAAAAAAATTGTGACAAAATACATACTGAATATTATATAATAATTGTATTCCCCTTATAGTTATTGATTTGATTTGTTATGAGATTTGAAAAATGATATTTTAATTAAAAATAATTACTGTACCTATTTCTCAATATTGTTTTATGTGGAGCTTTTGTTGTCAATTAGACTTCTAAAGTAAAACTTCTGGCAGTTAGTCTCTGGTGGTTTTATATATAACTCCAACTTACTATTGAAAACTGTCTGAATTTTGATAGTCATTTTATAATACTGTATTTAGTCATCTATGCTATAGTTAGTACTACAGTACAAACAGTTCTGAAAATGAATATCTAGGATGCTACTTCATAATTCATGTTAATCATCCAGAAGTGTGTAAATTTGTACTTTTTAGGCTCAGTACAGTTATGTAAAGTTTATTATATAAACAGAATTGATCTTGAATGTGAATATAATTAACACAGTCTATATGCATTTAACTCAATAGATACACAGTGACGCCACCCACATATAGATCAGTCTAATTTATTATGTACATATTTTTATATTTGCAAAATTACACCTAAAATATATGTTTGAACATTATCATCTCAGAAACTCTGTGGAAGTCTCATTTATATATGTGGGACTATATTATGTTTATTATAACCTGCTTTTCCTTAAACTCTTTGTGGATCTCTTTCTATATCAGTACATACGTATCGTTTACTACCCTGCATTTGAATGTAGGATCATAATCTCTTTTAACAATCACGTGTTCTGTGTGCATAGAGACTTACAAAGTCACAGGTACTTTACTTGGTTTATGTACTCTGTATACAGTAGTCATTTTGTTAAGTTCATATTCTTACCTAGAATGATTTGTTTAAGTTAGAGAGTTGGTATATGTTCATTGTTAGCATCAGTAGGAGACAGATAGCAGCAACTCAAAGTGAACTAAATACTCCATTTTTGACCCATGGAGGTTTTAAGTGTGCATTATTATTTTTACAGAATATCAACATTTTAGAGGGAAGAGTTCTTTTTAATGCTTTTAGTTGAATTCCATCATTTTTACATATAAAACAGCGAGAGAAGTTAAATGACTTGTCCAAAGTCACAGTTAGCAGAACCAGAGAAAGCTAAGATCTCTGCCTGCATTTACTTTGAGATAATCACATGACTTAGAAAAATGGTGTACAAATTGTTTTCCAGTGATTGCAGCAGTTATAATCTAAAGTATGTCATCTTCTAGTTTGAATTGTCTGAAATAGGGCTCCCTCCTTAATCTCAGCCTGACTTTTCTTTTTTTCCTCCAAATTGGAGCACTGTTACATTTTCATGTGGTTTCCTGTATATTTGCCTTTGTGTTATCAGTTCTAGAGAACTGATACCATAGGAGTATACATTGATAAGTTTATTTTTAGCCAGCCAGTCGTTGTAACTAAATGTTGGGTTTTTGTTTTGTTTTGTGTTTTTTTGGTGGGGTGAGGTAATTAGGCTTATTTATTTTTTTTAGAGGAGGTACTGGGGATTGAACCCAGGACCTTGTGTACGCTAAGTATGTGCCCTACCACTTGAGCTGTACCCTTCCCCTATAACTAAATGTTAATTCTTTTCAAAGTATTGATTTCAAGTGGCTGATGTTTGTTAAATACTGTAGTGGTAATTTTTGTCCTCTTTTGCTATGCAACCAAGTAGTTAAAAATAGGAAGTTGAAAAAAGTGAAAATCTAAAACTTATAAACATTTTGTCCAATGAGAGAAAGGAGTTTTCCTAAAACTAATTTTCTTTTAGTATATTTAGCTTTTTAATGGAATGAAATGAGCATTTTAAAAATTATATATGACTTTCAAGAGTCCAGAATTGAATTTTAGAGAAATCGTGTGGTACAATTCTCTAATAACGAAATTGAAGAAAAACTACCTTTTGTCTTCTTTAACTTAGAAACCTGATTAGTCCTATGACTATCAGTTTTTGTATAAAAGTATTGAGAAGTTAAATTTCTGTTTATCAACTATGTAAAGGTTTTTCTTAAAACTGTTACTTTGTTTTCCTTTAATAAGCCAGAAGGCACACCATTATTTCTTTTATTTATCTTGCTAAAATTAATTGCTTTATTGTGGAAAATACTTTTTTGTTGATAATTATATGAATTCATTTTTATGCATTTCTTGATTCTTTTAACAAGCATTGCCTCTTTAAATAGCGACTGAGGTTGAGATTAAATTTTAGACTGAAAGGAAATTAAATATCAACCAGTTTGAACTCTTATTTTAAAAGTAAAGACACTGAGATTTGATGTGGTTCACCCCTCAGATCACATTAGCAGCTGACCTGACACTGACTTAAGTCATTAGTCTTTGTTTAAAACTAATTGGTTTGGCACCCACAAATCACCAAACTTTGTACCTCCTGAGCATAGCTTGACTGTTAATCCACTCTTGACATCTCTGTAATAGTAGAATCAAAATGTTTGTATATAGTACATTTGCATTTATAATACTACTTTTCCTAATATATTCAGTTGTTTTGAAATACTTTCTGTGAAATTGTCACACAGAAGCAAAATGACCAAATTTTATGCCTTTTCCTAGTACCCTGCAGAATCACCAGATTGTATTGTGGATTTTCCTGTTTCATTTTCTGTTTCGTGGACACCACAGGTAAATTCTTAAATTTATTTTAAGTAGCTAAAAACATATTCTGTTTACTCATAAGTGCCCATTATAGGTTACAAAGTGATTTTTTCAGTTTTCTTTAAGCATTTATTTATAAACACACTTCTGAGTGCTGCTTTCATGTTTCCTAGTCGTTAATCCATTCTCTTTTCCTCTCTCTTACTCCCCACCCCCACCCCACACAAACACACTCTCCAGCCTTTAAATCTTTATGCTTCATTTTAAGTAAATATGAGGAAGCTCTATTGACAGAAATTTTCCTTTAAATTTAAATCCTAAGAAACTCTTTATAAAGCAGTGAGCAGCAGGTTAAAAATTGGGTGGAATTTTTCAGACATAATATCAAGAGAATGAGTTATGACTGAAAATATAAACCCTGCCATTTTTATTCAGTTTTTATTGTTTTAAAGTGTTTATCCTTAGTTTATCCTTGAATTTAGATGATATTCTTTTTGTATGTGCTTTGGAACATTCAGACTGAGTAAAGAATATAGAAGAGTCTTTCTTCTGCTCCTGTGAATTTAATTTCTCCATACATTGGTGGTATCTGATAAGTTACTGTATTCAGATGTGCATTGTAAATTATAACATTATATAGATAAAATTGGTTATGGTTATCAGTAGTTCCATCAACATTTATATGTGTGATTTTTAAAGATCTGGCAGAATGGTGGTTAGAGTCAAAGAACAGTCTAATGATGACAGGCATAGTCCATCTTTCACTCAGTGAATTGTGGCAGTTGATTCCAAAATGGAGTGAACAACTTCTCTTGTTATGTGAGGAGAAAAACTTCCTGGTGACATTTTACAGATACTCACTAAAAAGAGGCTACTCTTATTTTTGTTATGAAATTTTGATAGGCTCAAGTGAAAATTTATGCTTTCATTTTAAATTATAATATATAAAGTAATCATCTTGTATATGAAGTTAGTTTGGGGGAGAAAAAAAAGACCTAATGGGATTTAAATAGTCTCATGAAGTTTCAAATATTACTTTAATCATGCATATATATAAAATATTTTTCTCATTTTATTCTTTAAAAACAACAACAAAAAAGTCTTCCTCCTTCCATTAGAAATCAAGAAAAGACAGCAAAATAAAGGGGAGGAAAAACGCTTTGATTTGCTTTTGGTATTCTGTGTGTTATAAATGTGTAAGAAATACTGTTAACTTGTATGGAAAGAATTGGAATTACATATAAATTGTGTACCTTTGTGTTTTTTCCTCCTTAAAGCAAATTTATTAAACATTTAACTCAATACTTATTCATGATACAAATACTTAATGAAATAGGAATAAAAGTAAACATCTTTACCTAATAAGCTACTACAAACCTTTCTTGTTTTTTAAATATACATTTTGTTTGGCTCCGTAAGTTTCACCTTTGTTTTATGTGAGATCATGAGATAATTGTACATAGTTGTATTACTCTTTCCCAATATGCTGTCTCTAAATTATAATTCAGTATTTATCAAAATCCCAAGATTGAAGAATATGTTTTTAATGAGTTTCTTAGTGTTTTTAATGTATATAACCATATAAGTTTTCCCCAGACTTTAATCTGTGAAAATATTTGCATCTCCACCAAAAGACTATTTAGCACTTTCCTTATCTTGCTATTTAGCTAAATTAGTTTGTGACTCTTAACAGTAAAAAATCTTGGAGGACAATTTCTTTTAAATTTTGTATCCCTGCTTAACACTAGCTCAGTTTCTTGCACACATAAGCATGGGATAAGTGCTTATAATATTAGTTCAAATTCAGGTTTAGATTTAATTGGGTCATACAGCAAGTTTTCTATTTTGTATTAGTTCCAAGAATAGAAAATTAATTAGTAGTAACTGGAATGTCATAAATTCTTTTTTTAAATTAAAGAACATACTGAAAAATTTTAGCATAGTACAAATAAAAATTTGGACACCTTTTTATCCACAACTCAAATTTGACATGTTAATATTTTGTCATTTTCTTTAGATAACTCTCCTTCTGTCTCTCTCTTAGGAATAAAATGTTCCAGGACCTAAAACTTTACCTCCCTTTTCCTTCTCTCCTTTGCTTTCTTTCCCTTTCTAGAAGTAAACCACTTGCCTGGAATTGATGTGTATGCTATTCATGCATTTGTTTATGCCATATTTTGTAACATACAGAGTCTGACTTTTTTATATAATGTTTCTGAGGTTTACCCTTGATCTATGCATATGTAATATGTTTATTTTAAATGGTTTGTATCATTCCATTGTATGAATCTACCAGTTAATTTATCCATTGCCCTAGTGATACAGTTGTTCACAATTTCTTACTTAAACAGAACATCTTCTTTGTTTCCTTGTACACACGTGAGACTTAGTGTGGTTTATGCCTAGAAGTGAAAATGCTGGATTATAGGAAATGCACCTCTAGGAGATTACTAAACATCGCCAAATTGCCTTCCCAAATTGGTTGTGTAAGTTTATACTCCTGCCCTGCAATGCATAGTAATTCCCTTTCCGTCTTAGTCTGATTTTAATCTGACCTTAATTCTTATCAAGAACTGATAATCATTATTGTTTATAATCTTTACCTTAGATTTTTTTTTTGTTACAAGCATTTCTTACATATTTTGGATGTATATGTGTTGGTTACATGGGATATAAGTATCTACTCTCTGAGGCATGTTTTTTTAACTTATATATGATATACTTCGTCAGAGGTTTCACTTTCAGTGTGGTCATATTTATCAGTCTTCTTTGTGAGTTTTGCTTTCTGTGTCTTGAATGAGAAAATCTTCCATTATCTTGTTCTGAAAAGATATTCTACAGTTTGCTCTAGTTACACATTTTTTCCCTATTTCCTTAAGTATTTCAGTATGAAGTAAGAATCTGTATTTACACTTGCCTGTTTTATATATCCTCATTGAATTTGAATGTGTCTTCATTTGTAGAGGTCTGGGGTGATTTCAGTTTTTTTTTTTTCACAAATACCATTAAAATTTAGGAATTTTTCAAAATATATTATTCACCTATTGTTTTAGAGTCTAGTTGACATTGTAAGCACTTTGGTTATACTGCTAGCAGTATGAACTCTTGAGTCTTTTAGACGTGGTTAAAGTGTTGGCAGTATTTATGGTTTGAAAGTATGAAGCAACATCAGATTTCTTTGCTGTGTATGGTCTCTTTTCAGTTGACCTGTTGGAAACAGTTCTGCTTATGGGATTTACTATGTTTTTTCTTTTTTCTTTTTAACAATTTTTAAACAGTTGTAGTTCTTAAGCAAAATAAATGTTACTGTTGTAGTCTAATAGGAAACTTACATATGAGAGGCTGTAAATAGGTTCCAGATAACTGATTTTTAATATTCCTTGCCTGCTTTTGTACATTTCCTCTTTGGAAACAGTGTTTCTGGACTTTAAACTTGGAAGATCTTTATTTTCCTTTCTTTTCGTAAAATAATAGCATGGCTTTGTGGCATCCATATTAAAAATGGGTAATTTTCCTTATGGTCCCTGTCTTCCTGCTGGGTTGATAATGTTTTGATGTATTTTTCTTTTGCTCTGATGAGAGGTCTGCTGCTGCTGCTCTGACATATTCATTTGGATGAATAATTATAACTTGCACAATGTCAAGCTGAAGATGGTAGGGTTTTGTGCGTCATGACAAGCCTAGTAGCCAGTGCAGGTGTCTCACAGCATGATCAGCAACAGCCAGTGTATTCTGGCTCAGAGGAGACATTTAGAGTAGTAAGAAATCAGCACCAAGGGCAAGGCTGCTGCTACTACTGCTGCCGTGATATGTGCCAAAGAAACACAAAGTGCTTCTCAAAGACAAGTGACTGCACACCTCTTTACAGATACTTTGTTTACCCAGTGAATTTTCTTACATAGATTTCAGCATAGAATGTAAGAGCATGTCATGGTTTTTATCTTATTCCACTTCCCAACATCACAGATGCTCTAAAATGTATCTACTCTGCTACCCTTTGGGCTTTTACATACAGGTCATATATGTGAATATTGTTGACTCACGAAACCATAGAATGCTCTAATGTAAAACTTTTAAGTGTGCCGACATTCGTGATTCTATAAAAACAAAATTAATTTTCTCCAGGTCTCTGACCAACCCAAAATGGATGCTAAAATTGCAGCTCTGCCATTATGTGCAGGTTTAGTGAACTGTCCTCGCCACACTGGTTAGAATTTCACATTTGGTATGATACAGTAAGCAGTGGTCTTTATATTTTTTATCATGTAAATCTCATATTCTTGGAGTAATGCCATGAATGCAAGAAGAGCAAAACTAATGATAAAGCCTCTGGCTGATAATCTGATGGTGAATGAAGAAATTGTAATTAAAGGAAACAGTCCTATTGCATAGCAGGGAGCATGATCCATTAGTTAGAGCAGCAGACTAGCAGTTGGGTATCCTAGGTTCTGTTTACAGTTCAGCCATTGCCTTAATTGTATAATTTCAGACAAGTCACATGAGTGCCCTTTGCCTCAGTTCATATGTATATGGAAATAGTGAACTCTCTTTCACAGCGATCTTAAGGAAAACAAATTTGATTTAAAACCACGTTGGGGGAAAAACCGTCAATATCCATTGTATGGATCCTGTGGAAGTTCTTTTTGATCTCTGGATTATCTTTCTTTCCATTTTTCTCTCTGCTGTCTGTGTTGGAAAACTCATAGTACTGGATTTTTGTTCACTCTTAAATTGTTTATGCTCTTGCCTTCTTGGCAGTCTCATTGTTGCCACAGTGGTATGGGTAAAAAGACATCAGAGGGATCAAAACAAAGGAAACTAATTCATTATTGAGAGTAGGTGATATGGTAGACCCATGAGATGTGGTGTGATCTGTTGGACTCAGTAACTTATTAACTGCCTTTCTTTGTTTCTCTTTTCTCTTTCAGTAACATCATTTATTTTAAAAGTACCCTATGCTGATTCTAAAAAAAAAAAAAGGAAATAAAAATAAGCAAAATTAAGAAAATATAAAATCCCTTCCCCTC